TCGATATATTTGAGTTTTTCGGATTTCTTCGACATCAGGGTTTATTTTTATTTTTTCCAAGCTGTAGTTTCCAAAAATGGTGTCCATTTTATGATTGCACCTCTGCGTTGCGAGATATCAGTGTTTTTCAAATTTCTTTCATATAAGGGTCTATTTATATTTTTCCAGAGCTGTAATTTTTAAAAATGGTGTCTATTTTAAGATTACGTCACTGCACTTCTGTATATTCCAGTTTTTCATATTTCTATGATATAAGAGTCTATTTATATATTTTCGGTGCCCTACTTTTTGTAAATGATCTCCATTTTGTGATTACGCAACTGCGTTTTAATATCTTTGCGTTTTTCGGATTTCTTCGATTTCAGGGTCTTTTTATGTTTTTAGAGCTGCATTTTATAAAATGATCTCCATTTTATTATAAGGCCAATGCGTTTCGATTTATTTTAGTTGTTCAGTATTTATCTGTATCTGTATCTTCTGCCTCATTATTAAGACACTAACATTTTTAGTAGACATGAAAGTTTCAGATATATAGCAAAAACCCAAAAACAATTTACACACAATATGTATGTGTATGTGAATATCTATGTACATTTAATATTCATAAATAAATAGTATCGGTTAAATACGTATTCTATATTAGGGATTAAGCGGGCGCCCAGTTTAATGCTATATAGTCTAGTCTTGCTTACGTCCTCATCAGGACCATTTCTAAAGTTCTAGTGTAAATTAAGTTTTATTTTACTCACATCTGGGACATCATTATCCTCCACGAGAACTACTGTTAACTACATCATCTTCTACTTCAGTACGGCGAAGTTAAAAGGGCAATATGACTGGCCCGGTAGAGGTGAATCGGTGTATTAATTTATAAAAAATATATGATGAGTGGCGCCCCCCTTAAAATACATTTCAGATCCCATGGGTCTCCAGTTTTTTACAAGTTAAATTAAAAACAGTATTTTACGCCTCACATTGAGATTGCACATTTGTACAGTAATTCATGCCAATTTACACAAGCACTCTCATAGTTTAGTGGCTGTTGTACGTTATTCATGTTGAGAAGGTTTCCGGTTCATTACCGGTTTCACTATGTTCTTTTTCTTCTTTTTTTATTTTATAAAATTATAATTTAAATTTTATATGCATTTAAATATTTTGTAACATTATTTTAACACATTTAAATTGATTTAACAATTAAATCAGTTTCATTTCATCAAATCGCAATACATACATACATATGTGGCGCGAAGTCCCGTTACCAAGACTGGGCCTCCTCAAGTTGGCTCTGTCTTCTGTTGTAGCTCTCCAGTTCCGTACGCCAAGCAGGATTGTCGCATCATAGGCCACGCTGTCCAGCCATCTCTTCCTCGGCCTTCCTACCCGTCTTGCGAGGTGCAGCTTCTCAATCATAACTTTTTTGGGTATATCAAATGCGCTCATTCAAGAGCCACATGCCCTGCCCTCCTTAGTCTGGCAAGTTTAATATAGGTGACTACGTCGATGTCTGTATGAAGAGAACTGAGTTCCCAATTTTTTTCTTTTCCTCCAGACATCACCCTCCTTTACTGGACCATAGTTCCTTCTGAGGACTCCTCATTCGAACACACTCAGCTTCATCTCATCACTTTTCATCATCGTCTAAGCCTCTCAGCCATATGTCAAAACAGGCCGTACAAGGGTCTTATATATAATCAGCTTGGTCTTCTATGAAAGATACCTACTTCTAAAGTGTTGGCCAAGTCCAAAGACACATCTATTGGCAGCCGTGATCCTTCTCTTTCTTGAACCATGTCATTTTTGCTATTCACTTCAGACCCAAGGTATATAAAGCTTTTTACTCTCTCAAACTTAAAAGAACCTACCTCAAATGGAGAGTTCAGATCCACCTCACCACCAACTCTCATATACTTAGTTTTCTTCTCGTTCTTCTAGACCAAGTCGTCTTGCACCTGCTTCAAGGGCTGTAAATTCTTCTCTGAGGGCCCGTTCAGACCTTCCTAGTATATCAATATCATCAGAAAAAACAGGAAGCTGTGTCAGGCGATTGAAAATTATGTCGCTGGTCTGAACACCGACCTCTTTCATAGCTCTTCCAAGTTGAATAATAGACAGGCAAGGGTATCCCCTTGCCGAACCCCACTGCTCACTTTAAACTCTTCAGAGGCATCAGAACCGACGCGTAGTCTACATTTCGAGCTGTTCATGGTCATCTTGATTTGGCGTATGAGCTTCTGAGGGATGCCTAGCTCCTCCAAGGCACAGTATAGTTGTCTTCTATCAACGCTGTCGTATGCTGCTTTAAAGTCCATGAATAAATGGTGGGTGACTACCTTACGCTCCATACTCTTTTCTAGGATCGTGCTGAGGGAGAACAGTTGATCAGTGGCTGAGTGTCCTCGTCGAAATCCAGCCTGATATTTTCCCAGTTCCTTTTCAGCATACAGGAGGATCCTCTCAAACAGAATGTTAGAGAGCAGCTTATAAGCACACGAAAGAAGTGAGATTCCTCTATAGTTAGTGCATTCTGTATGATCTTTCTTATATATTGGGCAGATAATGTATATATATGTATATATATGTATGTATATATATATATATATATATATATATATATATATATATATATATATATATATATATATATATATATATAAAGACTCCTATAGCACATGACAAATCACCCGAGGAAATAGACCCCTATAAGCAAGGAATCCGAAAAACTCAAATATGTCAAATCGCAGTGTCGTAATCACAAAATGGAGGTAATTTTCAAAAACTGCGGCTATCTATTAATATAATTTATATATTTAACTATAGGCATATGGTACTTATAACTATAATTTATAATAGGCCGTGAGTAAAATACTCAAAGTGGCGCAGTGCAGCTATTTGAGTAAAATACTTAAAATCGGAAATTTCACATTTGAGTAAAATACTCAGATTCAGGTAAGTTGAATATCTGAGTACCGTAATCCGAATCGGGGAGTTCAAAGTTGAATAAAATAGTCGGTACTCAGTACTCACTTTGGCATTTGCTCATCTCTGCCATGGGGGCAGTTTTCAGATTCTTTCTTTTTCGGCGGAGTATTAGGATAGCTATGCTTTGCGGCATCTTGGATTTCCTCCAAGGCTTTCGTTTCGGTCCAGAAAAAATACGCCACCTACAATATAGAGCTACTGGCTATAAACCGAGCCATCAGGTATTGTAGACATTACCTGGTGGGTAGGCATTTTGAAATGTGGACGGAACACAAAACGCTAGAGTAGCATTCCTCCAAAAGCGGAAAGGAATTCCTCCAAGACCCGGGAAAATCCCGTATAGCCTTAAAGGCGAAAAAGGGGAGGAGACCAAAAAAAAAAAAAAAAACACCAATGCACTCGCACTATTGTAGGTTAAAGATATTTATAGTACCGAGGACTTCACTAGCATAGCAACAGAACAGCATCAATTTGATCAAGTCACTCGGTACAGCTGCCTAAATACTCACTCCGGGATATGAAGCTCGGGACAGTTTGTTCTTAACGTTTTTTTCTGGTCAAATGATTAAAACGCAAAGGCGTAGCCCGTTGCTTTAGATTAAGCAAGAGTGATAAAGGCTAAATGGTCATTTGGATAGTTACGTGACCAGTTATAGCAAGAAAGAGGGGAATTGTACTTGCTCCCTCTCTTTTAGAGAAGTCTGACATAAGTTATTTCAACTACCTGGAAAACTGTAATTTATTTAAGTAATTGTTAAAGGTCGTCAAATAGCAGCTATCTGCCTAGGACATACCATTACTGAGGTTTACAGGAATATGAGAAAACAATACTTAATTCAACGGTATAAACGTATACCGTTGAATTAAATATTGTTTTATACAAGGATTGTTTTGTACAATTTACGATTTTTCGTTCCAATATTTTATAATTTAATTACAATTCAGTGTTTTAAATGTTAGTTTCTTCTACAGCGTAATATAAAAGTACTTTATTCATATTTTCAAACAATATATTTTTAAAATTACACATTTTATCTTTGGGGAACATTCATATCGATTTTATATTTTAATCGAAAGACAGAGACACGCGGTTTCAATGTAGTTCTGACTAGTGATGTGATGTGACAGAGATTTTCTGTCACAGCTCCGACAGTGACAGGCTATCGAGAAAATCACTGTGACAAATCACAGTGATTCGTCACTACAAAGATTTTTTTTTGGTAATAAGTATATAATGGCTCCTTGGCAAAAGCGTCACTGTGAAATCATAGTTTTTGTGTTTAAAAATATATTAAAATAAAAAAAAAATTTCTTGTGATCAATTTTGTATTTGACGGGGAAAATATCTCTGGGATCCCTTGGTTTCTGTATACAACCCTGCAGAGAATATTTGAATTTATTTAATTTTTAATTAATTTCTTATTTATATTTCAACAGTTAAATGAAAAACTTTCAGTTAATTATTTCAGACATGTCTCACTCAGAAACATATGGCATTGAATGTTCAATTCATCAAAGTTCAAAAAGTATTTTAGAAATAATTATTTCATGATTATTCCTTTAATTCATTTATTAAATTAATTAAGTCAACAATGCTCAGATCGCAGAAGCGAAAAAGAAGTGATAGTTTGGAGCACGGGCGGATCTACGGGGGGGGGCTTTCGGGCTGAAGCCCCCCCCCCCAAATGGAAAAATATAACCATGTTTTATGGGAAATTGTTTTTTTAAATACCTCTTAAAGTATTATTGTTCGTGTAATTACATTTAAAATCACTTAAACACCATTTCATATAGGTAGTTAGTTTCTTTCTGTTTTTCCAAAGTAATTATCGTTATTTTTATGAAAAAAAAAGGTTTCGGGCTGAAGCCCCCCCCCAAAAATTAAATTCTGGATCCGCTAGTGGTTCGGAGTGATCAGAGCTGTGATTTTACAGCACCACAGTGATCGTCACTGTTAGAGTACAGTGATCGTCACTGTTGGCGTACAGTGATTTCACAGCGCCTACAGTAACTGTAACTGTGATCACCAGCTCCCGTCCAGTCACAGTGACAGAATAACAGCTCCGCCTATATGGGACTATCACTAGTTCTGACAGTCCACGGAGTACGCTGTCTTGGTATGTTTCGGTTGTTAGTAATTGGGTTTAAAGTTTATTTATTCTGCATTACTTGTTTTTCTGTTGATTCAGAAATATTTACTTATTCTTAATCATTTTTAATTGATCATTCATCATAACAAAAATCGAATGTCTGAAATAGAAACTTGAGAATTAAGATTTCTGTTTTTTCTGTGAGAATTGTGTGTTTATGTTTTTATTTTCAGTCTTTAAACATTGACATCCCTGCTTCACTACGATGGGCAAGGAAGATAAGGCAACTTGGAAGAGCAACTACTTCAGTAAATTAATTGTAAGCTTAGTTTTTATTAATTTAAACATAGTTAATGGCTATTGGTGTTTTTAGTTTTTTTAATTAAATATTTGTTTGAAGTTATCATCTATTTTGCAAGTGCCTAGTTTTTGCACAAATACATTTTTAATTTCAATACTATTACATTTTCTACTCTTAAGTTTTGTTCATTTTGAAAAGCTCAAAGAAATTCAGTAAATATATAGCAGTGTCATGTCCAGTTGACAGGTGTGTCTAGATCAGGCTATTGGCAGTGTGGCGAAACTAGCCTAATCTTTCTGAAAGCATATGGAGATGACATCTCAGACAAAATAGTGATATAAGACACCGAAATTCTAATTAATTACTATACTGAAATTATGTATGCCCGTAAGGCAATTCATTTACTCTATATTGTCTGTTTTGTATATGAAATGTTATTTAATCTAACCTTTTAAGAAAAGGCTCTCTGCTACCTTTGACATTCTGAGAACAGTGTGATATTGGTACGCTTGTCAATTTGGTATGATACTCATATTATACATGTATTGCTGTAGTTCTTAAATCTTTTACAATAAAAATACCAAGTCTTGTGTGTTAGTATCCAAGAGAAAGATTCTATCATTAAATTTTGTTTTACTTTTTCTGTTTAGCAATTACTTGAAGAATATCCTAAGTGCTTCATTGTTGGGGCTGACAATGTCGGGTCAAAACAAATGCAACAAATCCGTATGTCATTAAGAGGTTCTGCAGTTGTTTTAATGGGGAAAAACACCATGATGAGAAAGGCTATTAGAGGCCACATCGACAGAAACCAAGCTTTAGACAGGTAAGTTTTTTCTCTTTACTTAATGACTCTGGTGAATATTTATTGATTTATAATGATGTAGAGATGGTTGACCGTTGATATAATATGAGAAGGAGTTAATTGGGGGTTGCGGTAAAATAAATACGCAATTCGGTATTGTGCAACCTTCTGAACTCACCGGTTAACTCATCTTTCTTTGGTCCGAATATTCTATGCAATACTCTATTTTCAAAAACCTTAAGACATTGCTCATCTCTTAATGTAAACAGCCAAATTTTGCACTCATAAAGAACTGTAGGTAGGATAATGGTTTTATAGATTCTAGTATTTAAATTCCAGGACAAGATGAGCGAATTAAGTAGTTTTGTCACAGAAAAATAACAAGCATTTCCCACCTTCAGCCTAACCTTAATCTCCTCTTCAATTTTGTTTTTTCTAGTTGTCATAGACCCGAGATACTTAAACTTCTCTACCTGTTCAAAAACGTTACCTTCTATATCAACATCATCAGCAATATAGCTATTTTTACCATTAACCATATATTTTGTCCTATCCGTGTTTATTTCGAGAACTAGTTCTTTACTGGCTTAGAGTATATTACTAAATCAATAAATGAGAAGGAGTTAATTGGGGGTGCGGTCAAATAAATACTAAATTAAAATATAGTAATTATTTAATTTTTGCCGACGTTTCGACCCACTTTGCAGGTCGTCTTCAGGGCTACAAAAGATACAAAACATGTTGAAAATAAAAAATAAATATAAGTAGATATAAAATAAGAAGAAGTTGTCAGATACAGAAATAAAAAGATGATATCAGAGATATAGTGGGTGACAATGTAGTTAAAATATTAAGTATTATATATGTAGAAGATACAAACAAATTGAAAATAAGTATGAATAAAAATAAAAAAAGGAGAATATAGCATGTAAGTTAAAAGTAAACAGATTGCGATAAAAGATAAGGAATAAGTGTATAACAAACTAATAGAGATTACATTAGATAACTGTGGGTTAACAGATAAAGAAAATGAATGTTAACGAATAAATAGATTGAAAATTGTATAAGTATTGTTATAGTAAAGTTAAAATAATAATAAGATATCAGTGGATAACAAGCTAGAGGAGGTTACATTTGATTGTATGTAAAACAGATAACGGGACTAAAGGTTAAGAAGTAAAGAAATTGAAAGATTAAAAGGGTAACATTAGTGTAATATCGTTAGGATAGATTATGGTAATTATTTACGAACGGTCCTCCACTCGCCATCTTGGTTGAACTGGTATTATGTCCCGTGTTCTGATAACGTTTACGAAATCTAGCACCAGAAAGCGCCACTATTGCGGAGGGGTTGTCTTGTCCCCTCCACCTTACCTCTGTTTTCAGTAAATATAGAAATTAGATCGTTTAGGTTATATATTACCCGCCTTTTTTTAAATTAACCATTCCTTACCCACCATTAAATAAGCATCGATTGAACACCCATTTCCATCTTATCCACATAATATTTTTATGCTTATACTTTTTATATATCCACATAATATATTTATGCTTATACTTTTTAGATATATTCTGTCACATTTTCAGTCTAATGTGCAGCATACTGTCTTAAACAATTTGTTAAACATTAAACAACTTCATTAACTTAAATTTTTAAATATTTGATGGTTGATCATTGTATATTTTAGATATTTAGATTGTATATATTCAATTTTTAAATACTTTATGCTTGACCATGCTATATTTTAGATTGTATGTACTAAAAAATTTACAATTTTCTATAAGTGTTTTAATGCTGGATAAGGGTTATGTTTTTCATTTATATGTTACTTAAATCTTCTAGCAATAAAACACATTTTCAGTCTACTGAGGTACATACTGGCATTACCAGATTCTAAGGGAAATGTTTCAGGATCATGTAGGAGAGCTCTAGCGATTCATTTAATTTAAAATAATCAAAGAAGAAAACACTACTGACATTCCTTTAAATCTGAACTTGTCAGCAACATTACGAGTTCTTAGCGATTGGTCCCTTGTATATTCCCCTTGGAACCGTACATTTTCTACATAATTAACTATGCCAATCATCGTATCTGTATGATAGACAAGTATCTTAGCAACCTGTATATATATATAAAACGCAATGCTCCAAGAGGTATTTAGTTAAGCAGTAATCTTTTTCAAACATTAGCTAAATTATGTCAACTTGAGCCTGTAACATTTATAACAGATGCTTTTGAATATATTTTTACCTATGCATCTCAATTATTCACATTTGGTTATTATAATTTCTAAATTGTCTTAATCTCCAATCCAATTTAAATTATCTGACCAGTTATCCCTAGCCATTTCCATTGCTGTCTACTTACATTATCTGTATCTACTTTTAGATAGATATATAGAAAAAAAAACTTTATTCTGGGACTAAGTCCCTTCAGAATAACAATAATGTACAAAATAATAGAATATTACTGGCCTAAACGTTTGAAACAATAAATAAAATTGATAAAATAAAATAAAAAGTAAAGAAAACCTTAGGTGCGCAAGCTATATACAATACAGATAAAACTATGTACAGAGCATTTAAAATTATAAACAAAACAATTAAAACTATGAACATATCACTTGAACTATAAACAAAACTATAAAGTTAGAATGTGTTCATTTCATAAAAAAATAAAATTTTACTTGAATATACATATAAAAATAAACACTTAATTATAATTGAATAAATAAAAGAAATGTATGTATTGAAATTCCTATGTCGATAGTATGAAATGCATGAACTATCTCTTATCAAGTATTATGATTATATGATTGCTACACAATACATATATAGTATTAATAGTTTATATTTGTTTGCACAAAAGAATAAGGTATATTTGTTTGCACAAAAGAATAAGGTATTCTAGGTTACTTTTCTTTGGTCAATTTGATCATTACTGGTGGTAATTTATCCTTATTTGGACAATAAGTCATTCTCGATAGTTAAATTATTTACAGTCTTGAAATACATATAGGGAAACCTTAGGAAGAAATTAATAAACTCATTAAACAATGTCTGGAAAGTTTGAGGCTGGAAGCCAAAACATGAGATGAAGTAAAACCTAAATCTTTGATAGGTCTATACTTCATTTATATAACTAAGGGACATTTTACATTTTATGAAGAAGAAGGTAATGAGTTACGTCTGGCGGAATAGACATGATGAAGATAACTTACACTTTCTTGCCTAATAAATCATTCTGACAGGATTCAGAAAAATTAATGAGACAATACAATATAAAAGTAGATATAGATAATGTAAGTAGACAGCAATGGAAATGGCTAGGGATAACTGGTCATCTGGTATTGCCAGTATGTACCTGAGTAGACTGAAAATGTGTTTTATTGCTAGAAGATTTAAGTAACATATAATTGAAAAATATAACCCTTATCCAGCATCAAAAGCATTATAGAAAATTGTTTAATTCTTCTTGCTAGAAGATTTAAGTAACATATAATTGATAAGTATAACCCTTATCCAGCATCAAAACCCTTATAGAAAATTGTTTAATTCTTCCTGAATTGTATTAATATTGGACATACTTAGATAATGTACAATTAGAGATAAAGTGTCACAATTAAAACAAAACTTAAGTTAATAAACTTCTTTCATTTATGATAAGGAAAGCGAAAAGCATTAATAATGCTGAATCTCGAAGCTAAAAAAACAAAAACGGGCAATATATAAACACTACAATTATAAATAATATTAGTAATATATAATGGTAAAAAAAATTGATGTAGGTAATATGTGTAAATAATAACATCTGAAATATAAAGTTTGGTTAATTGATATATTGAAGATACAAAGAAATCGACAAGTTAAAAAAAATGGTGGGCACTATATATTGTAAAGGTTACAATTGGTAATTATTTGTAATGAACGTAAGGTGGAGGGGACAAGACAACCCCTCCGCAATAGTGGCGCTTTCTGGTGCTAGATTTCGTAAACGTTATCAGAACACGGGACATAATACCAGTTCAACCAAGATGGCGAGTGGAGGACCGTTCGTAAATAATTACCTAGATTATTAAGTATATATAAATAACTCTATAAGAAAACAATAATTTTAAAAGAGAACTTTAGAATGTAAGTATAAATGTAAAACAAGGTTATGATGATAAAAAAAACAAAAACAAGTTGTACTATATATAGATGACAATTGACATTCAGTTTTTTGAAAGTGGTAATGGAATAGTAGGCTGCATGAAGATAATAATAAGGTGTATAGTTGAAGGATAGGTGTGTTAAGAAAAGAATCACAATTAAAGCCAAAACATACCGTAGGATGTAGCACTGCGGGAGGCAGTTGAAACACTGGCAGTGTCAAAAAAAGGCTCTAGTAAGCAGTGTCAAAAAAGGCTCTAGTAAAAATAAATACATATATATACACACACACAAATATATAAATATATATATATATATATATATATATATATATATACACATACATATATACACACATACAATTATATATATATATATATATATATACATACATATATACACACATACAATTATTTATATATATATATATATATATATATATATATATATATATATATATATATATATATATATGCATATATACATATATGTACACACACATATACATAACATGTAAAAAAAGTGAAAGGAAACAAAGTAAAAGGAACTATTAATGGAAGTGAGAAGATTAGATAGAGGTTTATGATTGAGGATTTTTTAAAATTTTGATAATTTGGGAGTAAGCGAGTGAAAGATTTTGCTTATCTGTTTTTAAGTTAAGTGGCTTGTAGTCTAATTGAATGAAAACACTTTCCTTAAGTAGTCTTTTGTCGTGGTTAGGTACTATGGCAAGAATGAAGGTGTTATTAAAGTCAAATGTGTGGTTTGAGGATAAGGCGTGTTCAGAGAGTTTAGAAGCAGTAGAGTTCTTGGAAGTAATTGCGTATTTGAGTTGTTTGATGCGGTTTTTAAGTTGGTTTTTGGTTTC